TTTAGGCAGTCTTTGTAATAATATCAGCTTCTTTCGATGTTAGTTAAAGTCCGTCCAGTTAGCTCTCGGGTACAGGAAGCACGGCAGAGGTAGGGGCAGGATACACTGCAAATAAAGCACGATTGGTCAAGCTGATTTGTTCGTGCCATGTCATGTCATGTCATTCCATTCCTAAGCGTAGTGGTAATAGTGGTATTGCTGGTGGTGGTGGTAGGCAGGTAAATACCCAGCCCACTCGTCACACCCATCCATGCCTGCGTGCATGCATGCATGCCATCATCGTACACACAGCCCGTGAAAGCCGTCGGCTACGTCACCAACCTAGCTCGCGCGCCGCATCGCACCCTGCTCACGTCTTAGAGCAGGATAGGCACGGCCTAGCCGTGCGTCACCTTGCGCACGGTGCCGTCCTCGGCGACGTGCACGTTCAGCCTATAGAGTGGGCGGTGGCGTCAGCACTCGAAGTTGAATTTTTGGTTTTGCGTTTTTGCGTTTTTGCGTTGTTGTTGGTGGTGGTGTTTGCGGGGGCAGAGAAGCAGGAAAGCGGGGAGGAAGTGGGGAAGTGGGGAAGTGTGAATGTAAGGCAAGGCACGCACCTCTCCGGGTTGTAGTCCATGGTCATGGGCCCGCCTTCCTGCACGATGCGGTGGCTTTGCGGGAGGTCTTGCTTCGCGAACGTCTGGTGCGTGGTGGGTGGTGTTAGCGTCGATATCTACTCTAATCTACTCTGGATAGGTAGATATGGGTATGGGTGTGGTATGGATGGTATGGTGCAAGGGAGATGGATAGGTGAGGGGTGAGGGTAAGACGGACCACGTTGTCGGACGTGTCGCCGATCTTCTTGCCCAGCAGCTGGTTCGACCAGTCTTGGGTCTTGTCGCCGGTAGACTGGAGGCCGGGAACTACGAGAGGCATTGTGTGTGGTTGTTGTTGTTGTGGTTGTTGTTGTTGTGGTGGTGGTGGTGGTGGTGGTGGGGTTGTTGTCGTTGGAAAGTGGGGTTGGGCGTTGGGCGTTGGCAGTTGTGAGTGTGGGTAGTTGGACGGATGAGGTGGGAGGGCAGAGGAGAGTGAGAAGAAGTACGCTTTTATTCAAGGTAGGCAAGCAAGATACAAATAGCTGAACTAGGTACCTATGATCAGATCGAACCACTGCTTGCTTGCTTGCTTGCTTGCGGCTTCCCCGCGGCCAGCGACGGAAGGCACAGCCCCGCCGACGTCATACGCGACTTGCGCTCAAGTGCACGTGCCGTCTGGGGTCGTGACTTTCCACTTCCACCACCACCACCTCCTCTGACATGTGACTTTCCTCCGTATCACCACCACCAACGCCCCACCGCTAGCACGCTTCCATCCATCCGCTCGTTTCGTACGACTTGGTACACCGTCACGCGCCAATCGCTAATCCCACCCCGTTCATCGCTTCAATACTACGTACCTATCGGCGCGACATCACGCAAGCTACCAGGCAGGCAACCAAACAAGACAAGTCAAGACAAGACGCCGCGGCCCGCACCGCAGCCTACGACCTTTACTGTAGCACAAGCACCAAGCAGCGCACGCCTTGCGCGCAACAACAACAACAACAACAACCATGGCCACCACCGCGACGACAACCACAGACACGCCTTACAAATTCCCACCGCACTACTCCTTCCCGCCCTTCTTCACGCTACAACCCGTAGCAGCAACGCGCCTATCCCAGCTCTCGTCCTGGTCTGCGCACATCCAGGCCTACTGCCGCGCGCACCGCCTCTTCCAGCTCTCCCTCATCGACGCGCTCGACACGCCCCTCTTCGCGAACCAGCGGCTGGGCAAGCGGCTCGCGCTGCGCGACGCCCGCGCCGTGCTGGACTGGATGTGCAGCGAGGACGGGGGCCGCCGGGCCGAGTGGCTGGACGCTAAGGACGGGAAGAAGAGCGCGGGCGAGGGCGGGCGGTGCTGGGTCTTTTGGCGGCGGCCCGAGGAGTGGGCGGCTGTGCTTGAGGGGTGGGTCGAGGGGACGGGACAGAGGGGGGTGGTGTTGACGTTGTATGAGATTGTGGAGAGTGATGGGACCGCTGATCAAGGTATGTGTCTGTGTGTGTGTGTGCGTGTGTTTGGGTGTTTGTTGCGCTGCGGTGGTAAATATGGTTGAGGGAGAGTGAGAGAGAGTGTGCGAGCTGACTTGCCCTTCCCCCAAATGCAGAATTCCATGGCATGGACGCCGAGCTGCTCCAGAAATCGCTGCAGGTGTCGGTAAAGCGCGGCAAGGCCCAAGTCTTTGGCAGCGAGGACTCGTTGGGCGTCAAGTTCTTCTGAGCACTTAATCACGTCCGTACGTACGGTACGTAGTTACCTCCGGAGTGGGGTGCGAAAGCGAAACCGAGGCTTCGAGCTTGTGTGGCTGACTGGCTGGCTGGCTGCCTGCCTGGTTGGTTGGCTGGCTGGGACGGGATGCGTGCATGCGTGCGTACGTGTGTGCGACCTACCTAGGTATGTACCTACGGAGCACCCACCTAAGTACGTGCTCGAGGTGGCGGCTTCAGAGCGGCTGCTGTGCTACCCACCTACCTACCGGCCTAACTTTTTTTTGTGCTTTTGCGTAGATGGCAGGACGAAGTGTCCGATGCTGCTGCATGTGTGCCTGTGTGTGTGGGTGGGGGGAGGCACTGTTTGCCGCTTCTGGTCTGGGTGCGTGCTGGGTGGGGGTGGGGGCTTTGTTGCGCTGCTGCGATGCTGCGGTGCTGTGATGCTGGATGTTGCCTGCTTGCCTGCTTGCCTGCTTGCCTGCTTGCCTGCTTGCCTCCTTGCCTGCCTGATGGTGGTGGGGTGGATGTGTGTGTGTGCAGGGGCTGGCTACCGGGTGGTTAGATAGATGGGTGGATGGATGAGCTTTAGTGCCACCTTTGTAGGTAGGTAGATATGTGCATAGAAGACAGCAGGCAAGGCAAGGCAAGGCAAAAAGCCATTCCTCTACATCAATTCTCTCTCCCCTGCAAAGTCCTCCATCTCATCACTCTTCCTCTACCCAGCGCCCAACAGCGAAGAAAACGGCTCGTCCCAGTTCTTGAGAGCTAAGCGCTCTTTCTACTCTTGCCTATTAAGGTATTTTTCTTACAGCAAGCAAATGTGGCAGCTACATCCCATTCATATCGTCGACTGCCATCGCGTACTCTAGACGATCTTCGACAGCGCTGGATTGTGGTGATTCGTGTGAGAGTGGTGTGCTGGTGTTGGGTGCCGATTTGGTGAGGTGGTGGCCTGCGTTGAGGGGTTGGTGGTGGAGGGGAGGGGAGAGGGGGGACGGGGGTTGTGCTGCTGCTGATGGCGCGGGTGGGCGGGTCGGTTGCGGTCTCCCATCGTGCCATAAATCGATGGTCCGGCCAGGAGGTCTGTTGGGAGCTGCTCTGTGTTGAAGCCTCTGAAGAGCGAGTGGAGACTGGAGATGCTGTGGGTGCGTTTTGAACGGTAGTTCCTTGGACGAATAGCGCGGTGATTGCTTTTTGGTCGTTGGTCATGCAGTGTGGCAGACATGGTCGCTTTCCTGGTTCGTGATGACCCTCTCTGGGAGCTTCCACTTTGTTGGAGGCGTGGAGCAGTGCGTTTAGGTATGTATGGTATTTAAGAAGGCAGTGCAGGTTAGGCACGACGAGCCGGTGGGTATTTATGCTCTTGTGGAAGGTATATACATCTTTTATAACAAGACTGACTATACTATCCAGACGCCCTTAGGTCCCGAACTCAAGATCTTTATGTACCGGAGCTCAACTCACTCATTCACGCCCGCAAATTCACAGCAAAGGGTTTGGTATAAAGGCACAGACCGCACCGGTATTACCTGAACCACATCTTTCCCGCCGAGGCGCACGCATACTCAGAGGAAACCGGGAAGACTTCTCTTCACGCTCACCCTCCGGACACCGGTTCGTTCAAAGAATTCCACCCAACTCCAGCCCTCCACATCCAGGTCTGCCTAGATCGTCCACACCCAGGCCCTGGTTGAGGAGCATCATAGACTGATGATGTTGAGCATTATCCCGTGGTGTCGGTGGGGACTATCAATATTCGCAAATATAATCCAACTCGTTGGAACGAGCCTCTTTAGGCCTTAATGTATTTGGCCCTCAGTTCGTATGGTATAAGTAGATATGTTTTGGGGCCTTTGCTTGTAGCTTTAACATGCGTTTTAAATGTTAGGGCCAATCCGATAGATCGCAAGGAGCTTTTCTCAATGAACTGAATTTAAAGGCTTATGGTTATAATCTTCGCCATAGTAGACCGGGCGTTATCTCTTCTTCCAAAACAGTTGCCGGTTGAACGCCGCACTGTCCTGTGCCAGGCATACGTCAGTGACCGGAGACTTCATAACCACAGCGAACTACAATTACCATCATTGTCACTATTATTGACATCTTGGCCTGTAAAGCAGTGCCAGATGGCATTGTGTTGTGTTTGATCGTAGATAAAAATGACGAGAGGTGGAAAGAAGAAGTGGATGGTAGATCGATGTTTCTTTGGCTTAGCTCTCTGGCTAACATGCCCGAGATTCTTCTACTCCAATCCCGCTTCTCCGAAACCTTTCTTTACAAATCTCTAGCCTTTTCTTTTTTTCTTTTTTTTTTTATTCCCACTTTCCTTGTGTCTCAGTTTAAAGACTAAAAGCATGATCAGATAACAGACCCCAGAAAGGATGGGAAAGAAACCGAAGCGCAAGGAAATTAAAGACAGAAAGTGTAAATGCCATACATACACAACCCTTCAATAGTCGAATCTGCAACCAGCAGTAGTCGGACCCGCAACCCTCAATGGTAATACAAGCCCTGCAGCCACCCGAGCGTCCACGCAAGCCCGACCACTGAACACACCTCAACACCCTTGCCTGGGTCACATCCGCAAAGTGAAGAACCCAACGTGACACAGTGCACAGCAGATATAAACCTACGCAACGCACCAGAGAGTCCTGGCAAAAATCCCCTGTTCAGCGCGTGACGCAATGACGCTAGAAGCGCGTCCGACGAGCGTCATGATCGACATGCATGGCATCGGCGATGCCATCGCTTTCGATGTTGCATGTTTCTGTGGCAAGATAGTACGGAAGGACTAGGGTGTGACTTTTGTTGAGTGTTTTGCAAAATGCTCATAAGCAATACTGTTTTGCGCGTTAGTTCCGCGGAAATGGTTATGGCTTGCTTGACGTTGCATACAACAAGTACATGGGGCAAAAATCCCAGCAAGGATGTTTTAGGTACTACAGACTTCTGGTAAGAGAAATGAAAAGGAAAAAGGTGATATGAATTGTTGCGGAGGTCATATGTTGCTTGTGTTACTATAAGGGAAAGAGAAACTTAAGAGAAAAAGCTGTGTACGGAGGATACCTGGTTGATTCTGCCAAATGTGTATAAAACAGACTGAAATATGGTAGACCGAACTTTTATACTAGTTCGTCTATAATCAATTTATGCGCTTCGTGGAAAGTTTGGAGCTCTTGCATGACCACAGGGTCATATTAGTTCTTCTTTCTCATGCTATACCGTAGAGTAGACATTTTGTTGTGTCTTGCGGGTATAGTAGAGATCAGAAGAGAAAGCATCGATGATATCTTTATAGGCATATAGCGTATGCCATTATCACAAAATTGCTGCAACAGCTAGATTTAGTGACTTTTACTGAAGATTTCTGAGCCGACCACCAAATGTATGGAGTAGAGCGGGAATTTCAGGGAAAGTTCCCGCGATGGACGGCTTCCAGCTCCAGTTACTGGGATTCGTGCCATGTTCCTCGAAAGCGCGAGTGAGCCGCCGGCGTCCGGTAATGGGATCAGTCTCAACCGCTTCCGCCAGTGTATACGGCCAATCGACTGACGTGTAGGAATATCTCACCTCCCCGCATGTAATAAAGTCGCGGTACCGGAGCATTAACGCCTCGCGGAAAGCTGGGCTGTATATGATCAGCTTACGTCGTCAGAAAACAGAACAGAGAAACATACTGAGGGTTGGTGTCGATGCAGGGACTATGAGGAATCAGTCTTTGGGCAGGCAAGGGTCGAATCATAGCAGGGAGTTTTGCGTAGGTTTCGGGGGTGGGGACGAGCATCCACTGCGAGAAGGTTAGCAAGACATTGGCCAGATGCACGTCGAGTCGATATTCACGGACCCTCATGAGATGGGTGAGCAGTTTCACTGCCACTAGGCGTGCGAACACGTCTGTACCCTCGATGTTTTTATAGATCTCGCATGCAACGGAGCATGTGTTGTATGGATCACTGGGGGTGCGGTCGCGGAAGAACAGTTCAACATCAGTGTAGTCCTCTGGGCCAAATACTTCGGCGACAGGTACTCCGCAAGCAAGCTGTTGTGATGCCGCGTCGCGGTACCCAAGATAAGCTTTACTCAATGCCGAGTTCTCATAGACGTGAAGAGACTGGATGGCATAATCTGGGACGGAAAACTGTAGGAGTTGTTGGGCTTGAATTGGTTGTGGATAACCGTTTGCTTTGATTGCACTGGACATAGGTAGATTGCCGAAGCCTTCAACATAACCCGTTGTGGGGAACCATGGCAAGCTTTGATAGTGTCCGCTCGTGGAAGGAAATGAGGTAACTGAAGCAACCACCATCGCACTTGACGCAGAGCTGTTCCTGGTCCCCTCTGAGAAGTAGCTACCTCCCTATACCAACGCCCTTAGTTAGCATTATGGCATTCTGAAGTTATCCTCAAACATATGGTGGTATCAAAGGGCTTACCTCTCTGCCAGCCTCGGAGCTTCTTTCATCAACTGACTCCGCTTCATCCACCATTGGATCGTCATCCGAATCCAAAATCTCAATAATAGGATGCCATTTGCGCCCTTTCTCGGAGTAGTGATTGTCCCAGTGAGACCTTCTTTGTTCTCCCTCAAGAAGCGTTGCGTATTTTGATGAGCTTGAAAATATTGAGGGGACACTCTGCCTATTGTCAGCAGTAGGTGAAGCCATAAAGCCGAAGGGACTTGGTTCCCTTCTTCTTTGATAGTATGTGTTCGGGGTGTTTCTCGAGCAGGACTGCCCGTCTTCCTCTTTAGAGACCGTAAACAGCTCCTCATAGTTCGGATCAGTCAACGCCCCTATGAAATCGTGAAGTGAATCGTTTGCGCGAGCTATACGCTGCGCTTCTTCAAGTACGGATTTGTTGCCATCTCGCAATCGATTGAAGACATTGGAAAGTGCCTTCTCCATCTCATCCGCCTCTTTCTTTAGCTTTACAGCCTTCCGTTCGACAAATGTACACTCCTGCCTGTCGGCTGTGCATCTGAGACATGGTGCATTACCGCTACATCTAATTTTTTTCTTCCTGCATCCTATACACGCGAGGTTTGCAGTTCGACGCCGGGCACGTAAGGCGCTAGCTTGGAACTCGTCCGAGGCTCGTCGTCCACTCGATAAATTTGACGGACCAATCTCCGGTGCCAACGGCGGTACGGGTGCCAGGCGTGGCAAGTCCGCACCGTGTTCCATTCTTGTTACTGGAATGACAACAACTCCTCAGGGGTCCGACAGGGCACGGCTTCGTAAATCGGCATGACCCTTGCGTGAATCTTGCGGAGGGCTTCGTCTGCGTGAGTGAGTGACAGTAACGGATAGTGGTATGACGCAGACGACAAATGCAATTACAATAAAAAACTCTGTACGAGCTTTGGAGCACCGCTGTGACACGACATCTGCGTCGGCCGATAGTTATACCGGCTCAAGGGTAGCCCGGTCCTCTCTTTTAGGCAAGTCGACCGCTCCTATCGATACAGCTTTATCGCGAGGAGTTCTACAACGTCTTGAGACAGTCGAAATTCCATCAATTCGCAAAATGCACAAATGTGCATTTCTCTTAGACTCCGTTTATGAATTTATGTTGGCAGTACATCAAAGGCAATTTGTGTCCTTCCTATGAAATAATTAGTAACCCCAGACGTTGTCATCCACGCCCTTGATGATGCAACCAGCGCACCTTACAAATCAACTGGAGCTACATCCATATTTATCAGTTACCCCTCAGTAGCACCTCTGCATCGAATTTCAAACTCATCCTTCCGACCGTAATTCTGAATTGAACCAGACCATCCGAAATCCAGAACGAAATGGCCTCCAAGCTTATCGCAGTTGTTGCCGGTGTAGGTCCAGGTACCGGAGCCGCAGTTGTCCGTAAATTTGCAGCAACCTACCCAGTTGTCTTGCTTGCACGCACTCCGGACAGCTTTTCTCAGCTCGCCGATGAGATCAACGGCAATGGTGGCAAGGCATTGGGCATCCCTACAGATGTTTCGGATGCAAAGAGCGTCAAAAGTGCTTTCAGCAAGATTGAGAGCGAATTTGGGAAAGACTTCGGCCTTGCTGTATGCTTACTTTACCTGATTGAAATCGATTGCAGCTAATAGATTTATAGGCAGCCATCTTCAACGCTAGCGGTGGTTTTGTCCGCAAGCCTTTCCTGGAACTTACTGAAGAGGAATTTGTGTCTAGCTGGAACGTGTCGGCCAAGGGGGCTTTCCTCTTCTCTCAGGCCACGCTACCATATCTCCTCAAGGCCACTTCATCGTCCAAGCACCCACCCACTATCATTTTCACTGGCGCGACAGCGTCCATCAAAGGTTCCGCGCAAATGTCCTCGTTTGCTACGGGCAAATGGGCTCTGAGAAGCTTGTCACAGAGTCTGGCAAGAGAGTTTGGACCGCAAGGAGTTCATGTCAGCCATGCTATTATTGATGGTGTGATCGACATTCCGAGGACGAAGGAGTGGCTGAAGGACGCGGGACCAGACGCCAAGATTAGCCCCGAAGGGGTAAGTATTACATGAGTTCCGTTGGAGATGTGATTTGCTAACCTCCGTATCAAGATTGCGGACTCGTATTGGCATCTTCATACGCAACCAAAGACCACTTTCACTTGGGAGATTGATATCAGACCAGGAGTTGAGAAGTGGTAAAGCTCTAGCGCCGACAGTTCGGTTGACTGTTGAGTATTGGCAAAGTAAAATGTCAAATCATAAACGTGGGTATCTCATCTAAAGAATCAGACTTTTTCTTCTTTTCGCGTTCCCTTCTTGCCGACATCACGGCTTTGCGTTTAGCCATTCGTTCAGTGGAACTTGACTGTCGCTCGGAGCGCTTCGATAGGTCATTGAGAGGATCAAGCCTCGAGGAGGGTATGGTTTGACGGCTTGTCCTTGTCTCAACATCAATTGAAGACTCTGAAAATGAAATTGTAGCTCTTGAGCGTGAGACATCATTGGGTCTGACAGATCGTGAAGCGGAAACCGTCTCCACTTTTGGCAGAGGTTTGGGAACACGATTCGGAGGCGGCTGTATGCCTGTTTTTTGAACATGAACTGGGTGCGTAGTCGTGGCAGAGTGCTGCTTTGTGAGCGTCTTGGGTGTAATCTTCAGCGACGTCCCATCAAGGTCATCGCTATCGTCGTCTTCTGCAACCACCTTTTCGATCTCTTGAGCCAAACCACTCAATGCACTTCTGGCATTCCATGTCCCGGGACCGGTCGTACTGTTACTCCGCAGTACAGAAGATGAAGGTTTAGCAACGGCATAGCCTGCTGCTGCCCTCGTGTATGATTTTGTTCCAGTTAGTCGAGCCAGTTGGCTAGAAGACTGTTCTTGACTGCCAGACATAAGACCTGCGAGTTGAGAGTCACGCATCCACGGTGCATCTTCTTCTTCAGAGTCTTCTCCGTCGCGGCTATCGTGAACTCCAGCGCCAATCTGCCGTAGCGCATCGGCATGCTTCTCCGCGCTTGCTTCTGCCTTGCGCTTGAGCTTGGCCTCGGTACTCATTTGGGAGTGAGGGACTACGGGCCGAGCAATTTTCTGGATCGCGGACGCGCTCCTCTCTTTGGCCAACCGCTTCAAACGATGGTATTCGGCATGGTGTAAATGTTGAGTAAACATTTGCGCCGTGTCCAGGAACTCATCTTCCACCATGATCCACATATCGTCCCCGTCAGGTCCTTCGCGCATGAGTCTAGACTACGTCAGTCACTTCATGTCACATGCAGATGATAAGTAAAGGTCAGCCGAGCATACTCTTGTTTAGGTGGCTGTGGTGGAGGAGATGAGGAGGGTGTACGATCTGCAGCATGTGAGCAGACAATTAGCGCCAGAAGAGTGCCGTCGCGCGTTCCATACCTGCTCTGTTCTTTACTGCGTCCGGTACACGGCGCAACCTACTAGGAGTGGTTCTAGCATCGTCACGGTCTAACGTTTCTGGACGCGCTTGGTTTGGACGTCGCCCGGCATTGGCGCTTGAAGACTGGCTTGTATCATTGGCAAGCCATGGCAGCTTTCGGGGCATGTCGCCTACGCGTCGAAGGAGTAGGAAGTGGTGTTGAAAGAAGCAAGGCCGCTAGAGTACTCGATAGGTGCTTTATCGCGCAAGCCCTAATCTTCGGACCGACAGCCGAGCGAGTCATGCCCCCGCGAAGGCTGCGAAAGTGACATCTGTCTGCGCCCTTCCATCCCCTCCTATTCATTTCCACTCGTGTCTGACAACTCCCTTGCAAAACCTTCTCTCCTCACGTTCTACTTGAATGGACTTCGGTCACAGTCGCGTAACTATGCTTCAAGGGTAGTATACACGTACAGTAAGCAATCCAATCTTCGCGCTCACTAAAAGGCCAATACATCAACAGACGATTCAGGCAGCTGTTCAACCGCACCGTACACCCCCGAAAACGATGAGAAAACCACCGCCGGTGACGAACCCGACATGTATGACCTTTATCGCGTGAAGACTTCCGAATCTAGCTCCGCCGACGACCTCTCCCGCTCGCTCTCAAACACGGTGATAAGCAACATACATCCGGACCATAAAGATGGGATCATCACTGCGCTGCTTATGCGTGATTCCCTCAATCTTGCCCTAGAACACTTCAACCATAAGGAGGCCGGGACGGGGGCACCTACACGCTCGAAAGATGATCCTGAAGTTCAAGAACTGGCGAAGAAGCACTACCACAGCATGGCTGCGAGCATGTTGACGGCAGGCATTACATCTTCCAACATCCATCATGATGAGAAGCTGCGCGGACAATACGCACAAGCCTATGATTCGGTTGCCAAAGATCACATTGCGACTCTGGCGGAAGGAGGTCCGTCCCTGTTGAAATCTAGTAGTGCTCTGACTCTTGCCAGTCAAGGTTTTAGGGCTCAGCGGCAGCATGATGCACCTCGGCCGCAAATTGGCTATGTCCAGCCTCAAAACTTCAAGCACCTCCCGTCTCTGGTGCAGCCGCTTGTTGATGAGAACCATCCCATATTCAGAAACGCCCTCAGCACTCATGGTATTATCCTTGTTGAGGCGATCGGTAAAGGAGGGTATGGTACCGTTTTCAAAGCTGTGCATCCGCTGGATGGAGGGTTCTACGCTATAAAGCAAATTCCACTGAGCCCGGCAAGGATGGAAGGTATTCGCAAGCGGGGCAAGGCAGAGTTGGACGCTCTCTTTGTGGAGGTGCGAACTATGCAACGTTTTGACCACCCCAATATTGTGCGCTACCACAACGCTTGGCTCGAATCACTATCCCTTGACTCACTCGCCAAAGTTAAGAAGCAGCAGAAACTACTCGAAGGCGTTACTGCGACTTCATCAGAAGCTGAGTCTGACTCGAGTGGCCCAAGCCAGTCGAGCAATGGGATCGAGCCTTCGTTAGGGTTAAGCAACAATTTCTCGGATCTTTCAGACAATGTCGTTTTCGGCGATGATACAAGTGTCAGTGTCAGTGTCAGCACATCTATTCCAAAGCGATTGCGCAAGCGAAGTGAGAGCCACGGCACCCTTTCTTCCTCGTTGTCTAAAAAGAGCACCGTCCACAGCATTGGGTCAGACATTGAAGACGAGGACATCGAGACAATTCCGCGCAACCTCTCGGAAATTGAAAAACAACGCGACCTATCACTCTCCCACAACATTCTTTTCGAGGAGAGCCAATCTGATAATCGCAGCGCCACGTCCATGGAAGAAGAGCCTCCTGCGGACAACCTGCATCTGGTTCTACACATCCAAATGGCCCTTTATGATTTGACCCTTGCCGATTATATTTCTTCTGCTCCTGGCGCACGCGTCGATGGTACCTTGAGTCTACGCCACTGTTTTCATACGAAGATGTCGCTCGAGATCTTACTGGCAGTCCTTGATGGCGTTGAATATCTCCACGCACAAGGGGTTGTCCACCGTGATTTGAAGCCAGCGAACATTTTCCTATCCCCAGTGGTAGACAAGTATCGGCACAAGGACCGCGTGGCTCTGGAAAAATGCCATGGATGCATCAAGGCAGGAAGCAAGAGGATCCATCAGCTTGGCGTGAAAATAGGCGATTTCGGCTTGGTGACTGCGATTGCTCGCCCGGACACTGAATCCCAGCATGGTCGTGTCAGGGCCGTTGGAACTGAGTTTTATCGTCCTCCATCCGCCCCTGCTCAGCCCAACGAGAAACTTGATGTTTATGCTCTGGGTGTGATTACTTTTGAACTGCTTTGGAAGTTCGATACCAGTAAGTGCAATTCTTACCCAAGACTTCCTACGGAGGATTTTTCCTCTTCAAACGAGTATGCTTGATATGCTTAATAATTGCTAACTGCAATATAGGAATGGAGCGTGCGCACGTCCTGCAAGACCTCAAACGCGGAAAACTTCCTGTAACATTCGAGGAAAGGATGGACTTCGCTGGGGATCGACTTGCAAAGTGCATCAAGGGGATGGTCCACTGGGACGAGGCGCAGCGACTAACTCTCACAGAAGCGCAGCATGAGTTTGAGGCTATATTGCGTGCAGCAGAGCCTTAGGCCTTTATAAGGGACAATGTACCACAAGTTCTGTCCCAGAGTTCGGAAAGAGACTCATCAGACAAGTCATTTTGATATTTCTGAGGTCTCTTATAACAGTAAGTAAAAGTCCCTTGTTTGGCTCTGCCTTGACCCTCCGCTATGCGTTAAAGCTAACTGCGTTGTAAGGCTTCGGGACTTTCGGAACTCCATAGTGGCAACAACGTCAAAGTAACATTCGTAGTTCATCTTCTCCACTCCTCCGTTTTACAATATACCCAGAAATCGCATTGCACGATTGATCGCGCCAGGAAGAGTACCATCGCTAGGTTAGATCGTCACAACGACCAAGTCTATGACATGGCGATTCAATTCAGACCATAACACGGAACACGATCGAACATTTGAAGATAGACCCAGATGTTTGAATTATTGTGCAGCATGAGGTTCTAACTAGTTTTTTGAACTCTAACTTTGCTGCCTATTCATTCCAATAGGTATGCTAATTGTTGTAGGTACATAACTGCATCTACTCTCCTAGAAGTAAGCCGCTGTCACCGTCAGGGATCGAACACCGTCGAACCACGAAGCAAGTCCTCAACAGGCTTTTACGTCCTTAACAATGATGACACATGCCAGCCACCAGCGACACATTATTTTCGGCAGGCAATGTCTCTCGAACCTTGCTGAAGGGACGACGCCTCATAATGTGGATGTCGACAAGTCAGGCTCTTTAGCCGACGACAGTAGTAGTCAGCGAGATGCTACCTTATATATCGATACTGTCATAGCACGTTCCGAGATATTTTGCTTCGGGAAAGCAATTGCTGGAGGTGAAAGCGATGCAGGCAGCCATTGTTTGTGCTCCAAGTAATTCGTCTCACTTTGTCAGGGGCTGTAGATTACTCACACCTGTATGCTTTTTGAAGGGCTCCTTTGAGGTTGAGAGATTCGCTGCATCTCTCACTCAGGTGGGCCGTGTTCGAAAATGAGTTTAGTGCAGCACATTTCATGCAGCCTCCGCGGAACTCGTGTTCTCCTCGTCTATCTCCATCTTTGCCTTGCCCTCCTCAATCCACATTTCGAAGACCATTTCGCCCGCATCGACTGCCCTGACGGGCATGGTCTTGACGCCGCCCAGATCTTCACCTCTCCGGCGCCCATTGTTGTCAGAGCTCGCTGCGGCGCGCCCTCCTGACTTTGTAGCTTGTAAATTGGGTTCTACCGGAATCCACGGCTGCGGGTGTCCAACAGGCGGGTCAGCTGTCTCCCTCAGCTCAACGGCGATAGTAAAGGTGCAGCCCGGTGGCAGCGGCTTGAGCTTAGATTCACAAGCTGCGAGTTTCGCTAGCGCACCGCGGAATTGCTCCTCCAAGTCTGCAGGCAAGTCGGCCTTGTCTTGAATCACGTCCTCTTCGGCCGCGCTGCTCGCAAATGGTGTTTCAAAGTCCGCTCGCGGCACGATGGGGAAGCGGCTCACGTCCCACATGAAGCGCTCGAGAGGCTTGCAACTTGCGGAATAGATGACAAGGGCAACGCGTGCCACAGTACCCTTGAACAACTCGGCTTCGACAGCGGCGATGGCATCGCTAACCCAGGTGCAGACCTGCGGGTGGCGATTTTGGTGGACAGGGTAATTATAGGCGCGGGCGGTCAGGAAAGAGGTGCGCGGGTAGAGCGAGCGGTGGTGCAGGATGGTGTGAACGGCGACGGTGAGAAAAGAGGAAAACGCAGCGACGAGTGAGGCGAACGTGGGCGGGGGGCCATTGGGCGGCATATTTGGGCGCTGAAGACTAAGAGGAAGGAAGAAGAAGACGTGGACAAACTTAGCGTTGTCACGTCGGATCCTAGGTCATCGCGCGCGCGTGCCCCGCCATTTCAACCTGAGGTTCTATCTGGCTCAGCACTGCTCCCCGCGCCAAATTCTCTACGCTCTCCAAAGCAAAACATCCGACGCGTGTCCAGGGCACGACCTTACTCCCACAACCCTCCCATCGCCCACAGCCATGGAAGAGCAGCTCGTCCGCGTCCTGGCCGACACGCAGTCGCCCGACGAGGCGCCCCGCAAGCAGGCCGAGCTGCAGCTCGAGCAGCTCTACACAAATGAGGCCTTTCCGCTCGGCCTCGTCACCGTTGCCTCGCACGATTCGGTCCCCGTCGACATCCGGCAGTGTGCCCTGCTGAACCTCCGCCTGTGGGTGCAGGCCGGCTGGTCGGCAACATTCGACGAATTCAGAGGTCAATTGTTGGCAGGGCCCGAGGTTAAGGGCAGGCTACGCCAGTCGCTGCTCGAGCTCGCCACCAGCAACATCGAGGAGAGGAAGATCAAGTCAGCCGCCAGCTATGTTGTCAGCAAGATTGCCAGCTCCGACTTCCCTGACCAATGGCCCGACCTCCTGCCCTCGCTGTTGCACATGATCCCCACCGCGACCGATGCCCAACTTCACGGCGCGCTGCGAGTGCTAGGAGATTTGGTGGATGACTGCTTCAACGAGGAGCAGTTCTTCCAGAGCGCCGGTGAACTGATTCGTTCCATCCATAATGTCGCCATCAGCACCCAGAGAAAGCCCACGCTGCGGGCTTTGGCCGTATCTGTCTTCCGTGGATGCTTCGACATTCTGGAAATGGTCATGGAGGACCACAAGCAGGCAGTTAAGGCTTTTGCGGAGGAGACTCTCAGCGCCTGGGTTCCCTACTTTATCGAGGTTCTCAAGACTGCTTTGCCGCCTCCGCCTGCGGAGGAAGAGTCGGACAAACAGCTCGAGGAGACGTGGCGCGGCCTGGTGGCCTTGAAGCTGCAAGTCGTCAAGGTATGCTGGAATGGCTTAACTAATTTGCATGGACAAATGCTGACTTCTCTAGGCTCTCATGAGGATACGCTCCGTTTTCCCGTCTACCCTTTCGCCGCACAGCCCCGTCCTATTCTCAGCCACCTGGGAAGAGCTTTCCTCGCTCCAAGGTGCATACCACCAGATGTACATCGATGACGATAGGCAGAGCAGACTGGAAGACGCTGATGGGCTGCCCTATACCTTGGACTTCCTGGTCTTGGAAGAGCTGGACTTTATGCAGGCCTGCTTGAAGGCGCCGCCTGTGCGGAAAGAGTTGGAGCAGCAGTTGCAATCTCAGATGGGAAGCGGGAACACATGGGTCACTGAAGTGATGAAGCTCGCAGTGGCATATGCGCAGATCACGGTGGAAGAGGAGGGTCTCTGGAACTTGGATGTCAACATCTTTTTGTCGGAGGAGACAAGCGTCACGGCCAACTATACCCCTCGCACAGCCTGTGGTGATCTTGTCATCAAGCTCGGCGAATGGCTGAGCGCAGCGACGGTCGACGGCTTGCTTTCCTACACTCGCTCCCTCTACACGACCGACCAGTCCTGGAAGGCCAAGGAAGCCGCTCTTTATATCCTGAACCAGATGCTTGGTGACTTCCAGGACGTGGATCGTCAGGTCAGCCCCGAAGCAGCCAATGGTTTCATCGACTTCATCCGATATGCCATGCAGCAAGAAGAGGAGTTCCTAAGAGCACGCGGCTACCTCGTGGCCGGCAGCCTTACGCGCACCTCTGGCGATGCCCTGCAACATGTGGCTTCGCAGTTCATGGAGGCCTCTCTCAACGCAATCACCAACGATGAGTCTGATGTCGTCAAGGTTTCTTGCATCCGTGCTCTCCAGCATTACCTTTCTGCTATCCAGCCTGCGGTAACACTGCCCATGCAAGGCTCAATCGTCAATGCTATCTCCACGTATTTGTCGACGCAAGATCTTGACGAGCTGGCTGAGAGCGATGATCTTATGGTCACGCTCGTCGAGACTCTTCGGGATGCCATTCTGCTCGATACCCAAGTCTGTTTGCACGGCACAGGCTTAGACCTCCTTTTCACCATTGCCAGCCATGGCGCAAACAACTTTCAGCTTACCATGCTTGTCAGCGAGACTTTTGAAGAGATCACTGAAACGCTGGCAGCAACCGGTCCAGAGGCTTTCACGCGTCTCTGCGAAAAGGTTCTTCCTTCCCTCACTGGCGCCTTTGACGTCGGCTCTCTGACCGAGGAGAACGCCTTGACGAATCTCGCCGCTGAGCTGCTGTCCGTTCTCACTGAACACGGCTCGGAGCCCCTTCCTCCAGGCTTTGTTGCAACCGTCATGCCCAAGGTCAACCGTCTCCTTCTCGGCTCGAACGATGAGGAGTTGCTGAAGGCTGCCACGGCCTCCGTAAAGAACATCCTTGTACACGACCACCAACAGCTGTTTGAGTGGCACGATGATGCTGGCAAGGGTGGTTTGGAGAATGTCCTTGTTATCATTGACCGCCTGCTGAGCCCCACCGTTGACGATAACTCTGCCGCTGAAGTCGGTGAACTGGCCGCCGAAGTCGTAGAGAAGGCAGGGTCAGATAGACTGGGCCCGTACCTCATGACGCTGCTCCGTGCTGTGGCAGTTAGGCTGGGAAGCGCTACGCAGGCGCAGTTTATCCAGAGCTTGACGCTGGTTTTCGCTCGTCTCTCGCTCGTGAACGCGCACGAGGTTGTGGATTTCCTGGCACAGCTAGAGATTAACCAGCAGAATGGTCTCCAGGTGGTCATGTCCAAGTGGCTGGAGAACTCGATCATGTTCGCCGGTTACGACGAAATTCGCCAAAAGTACATCCTCTCACCACTCGTCAATGTCATGGTTAGCTAACTGATAACCACCTTTCCACAGCGTCATTGCCCTCTCAAAACTCTACGACCTTAACGACCCGCGCCTCTCTCAGATCATGGTTAAAGGTGAACTCGTGGTCCCGCAGTCGGATCGCATCATGACGCGCTCGCGCGCTAGGCAAAGTACGACATCTCTCCTTCAAACGTTTTTGCACCAACCAAAGCCCATCGAAACATATCGACTCGGGCGAGACTTGTCGCCAGAAGCTGTCTACGGATATCCTAACGCCTCGACAGATCCCGACCAATACACCATCGTTCCCGCGCCACTCAAGATCCTCAAGGTGCTGGTTGAGGAGCTTCTGTCCGCTAGCGGCAACCTGCAGCAGGGCATGAACGCAGCTGCTCAGGCCGAGTTGCAGGACGAGAACTCCGAGGACGAAGACTGGGAAGATGACCCGAACGAGCTTGACCTCGGTCTCGGCGCTACGAAGGCCGGTTAGTGCGCCACGAACAATACTCGGGAAAGGTCAATGAGTAAACTGACAAGCTCGTGTTTCCTGCAGAACTGATGGCCTATGCGGACGAGGGTGGCTACTCTGGCCGCCAACGGGACGACGAGACGCAGGCTTACCTCACCAACTTCTTCCGCGAGGCATCTCAGAAGCCGGGATTCGCCGAGATGTTCGCTGCCCTGACGCCGCAGGAGCAGGACAAGTTGCGCACCATGAGCTGAGCGGAGAAGGCAAGAAGGTCATGCGCAAGGGGGCCACTAGCAAGGCAGTCTTGTGGATGGTGCCATGTACATGACTATGACGAGAAAAAGGGTTTTTACGATGACGAGGGCGGGGAAACGTTGCTACGTTTGTACGCCGAGACCGGAATGCTGGACAAAGCTCTGCATGCGGCATTGGTAGGGAACGGTGGGTGGAGAGTGCTTTAAGCGTTGCTTCGTTCCAGCCCAGCATGCGCCGCGCATATTAAGCACGGAAATACCTAGAGCACAGTTGTGATGCACTATTGTTTGACTAAGAGTAGATAGAAGAGGGCAGCGTCGGCCGACTCGGCTTCGGGGAAGGATGTAGGTACATAGATTAAGTTGAGGCTGAATCACTAACCCCGACCCCGCATGGTCCTATTCCCGACACCTTTCGGCTGAGAGACCGAGGAGACCTCGGCGATCCTCCAGCGAGCCGTGACTAAATACTGTTTGTTCTCTCCGTCATCGCCATGGCCAAACATCGCCGTGCCTACCGAATTCACCATGAACGGCTCGCTTAAGGCCAAAGAGTCGACTGAAGGCGACATCTCGCGCCTGCCGAGCGCAACCCCCTCGCTGCGGTCCGTCGCGCCGCCAGAGAAGAATGCCGACAAAGAGCTAGCGCCCGCCACCTCAGCTGTGACACCAGACGTACCGCCCAATGGAGGGTACGGCTGGGTGTGCACGGCAGCGGTATTCTGGATCAATGCGCACACTTGGGGCTTGAACAGCGTAAGCAGTAGTTAGAATCAGCAGCGCCCTGCCCTACCCAAAAGCGGAATTCGAAAAAGCAAAGGGAGAGAGAGAGAGAAAGCGGGCAGAAGCTAACGCGCTTAACAGGCCTACGGCGTCTTCCTCGCGCACTACCTAAGCACGAACACGTTCGCAGGGGCGACGCGACTGGAGTTCGCCTTCGTGGGGGGCCTGTCCATTTCGCAAGCGCTGCTCGTCGCGCCAGCAGCGACATGGACGACGGGGCGGTTCGGCACGCGCACGACGCTGCTGGTCGGCGTGGGGTTCGAGACGGCGGCGCTGGTGGGCGCGTCGTTTGCGCGGCAGATGTGGCAGCTGTTCCTGAGCCAGGGCGTGTGCTTCGGCTTCGGCATGGGCTTCCTGTTCGTCGGCTCCGTCGGCGTCGTGCCCCAGTGGTTTACGACGAGACGCAGCTTCGCCAACGGCATCACGGCCTCCGGGTCGGGCCTTGGCGGGCTCATGTACTCCCTCGCGACCAACGCTATGATCCAGCGTATCGGCCTCGCGTGGGCCTTCCGCGTCCTGGCTATCTGCGCCTGCGTCGTCAATACGGCTTGTTCGCTGCTGGTGCGCGACCGCAACAAGCACGTCGGCTCCTCGCAGCGCGCGTTCGATGTCAGCCTGCTGCGCCGCCCCGAGGTCTTCCTGCTGCTGGGCTTCGGCTTCCTCAGCATGCTCGGCTACATCGTGCTGCTCTTCTCGCTGCCCAACTACGCGCGCAGCATCGGCCTAACAGCGCAGCAAGGATCCGTAGTCGGCGCGCTGCTGAACCTAGGGCAAGCGCTGGGCCGGTCGCCGATCGGCTTCTTCAGCGACGCCGTCGGCCGCATGAACATGGCGGCGGGGATGACGCTGCTGGCGGGCGTGTTCGCCCTCGTCGTCTGGACCAACGCCACCTCCTACGGCGTGCTGCTCTTCTTCGCCGTCCTCGTCGGCACCGTCGCCGGCACCTACTGGGCCGTCGTCGCGCCCGTCACGTCCGAGACGGTCGGCCTGCGCCGCTTGCCGGCCGCGCTGAGCATCACGTGGCTGGTCCTCGTCTTGCCGACGACCTTTTCCGAACCCATTGCGCTGCAGATCACGGCTGCGAACGGCGGGAACTATCGCGGCGCGCAGATTTTTACCGGCTTCATGTATGTGGGTGCCGCGGGGTTCATGCTCTTGTTGCGGGCGTGGAAGATTGGCGAGCTTGAGCGCGCTGGCGATGGCTCTGCTGCTACGGCGTCTACGTCCAGCTTTTTGCGGAGGCTCGTCGTGCTGAGGAGGGTGTAAGAGTCCGGGGAGCGGGGAGGGGGAAAGACGGGGCAGGCAACTTTCTGGCCAAAAAGAAGTGCGGAAGAAATTCCCAACGCTGAGGAGCGATGGGTTGGGTAAAATAGAGCACCCAGAAAAATGTACATATACGACCTACCAATCAAATAAATACATACCTACCTATCTAATTCGATAAACCACACCGCACACACCGCACATAGTTGACTAACAGAGTGGCCAACAAAGGCCGGTCCAACTGACTGACAAGCCAATTAATTCATGCATTCGTGCCACGCTAGCAACACCTACCTCCCTCTCTCCCCTCTCCCCTCCCCTCTTTCTCCCATCATCAGCAGACCAAAGGCCAAACCACAGGCCTGAGTAGGCAACAACCTCGACACGCGCGCCAGGGAGGCAGGTAGGCAGGTGGGCAGGGAGAGAGAGAGATAGACAGACACCTAGGCAGATACCTACCTACCCAGACAGGTAGAGAAAGAAAAAGAGTCGTCGTCACACAATCTTAGTCCTTAGTCCTTGATCCTGCCTAATCTCAAAGAAAGAAAG